ATGTGATTCAGGTGTAAAACATATCGCAAATCATATACCACGCAAGCTTTATAACTTAAGAAAAATAAGGAAAAAAAAGAATTCCCGCGAATACAAGATTAACCAATTAAATCATTATCCATTAACGATATTAAACCGAAATTTAATTTTAATGAGAATTGCAAAGATCATAACTCAAAATAGAACATAAAAACATTACCTGAGGTAACCTTTAAACAGGGTTTAAACAATTTTTAAACCTTAATAAAAATGTATCAATGATGTTTGTGCTAAATATAACATCGCATGCTTCTATTTAGTAAAATTCAGATTTAATACAGGTTACTGCATATTCTAGTTTACGAAACATGGGCAACAAATAACAAAATAAATAGCTATAATAAAAAACGATCAACATATGTAACTCGTGTATAAAAACTAAATAATTCCACGAACTTTTTAACACCTACACAGAAAAGAAACGAGCCTATTCAAGGACACATCTATAAAAGAACAATACTTCAATAGATGATTCGCTTCAGTGTATCTATGCTAGAGCCTATTTACGTCAATGAATAGATGAAACGTGAGAAGCATAGATGCTAGTTCGAAATAAGATAACATTTTCCACAAAATGCTAGAGATCGTTGACTTTTCGAAAACAGCTTTCTTTCATTATTTTAAAATAAATAAATTCCGTTCAATTCCTCTTCTACAATAGTTTTTCAGTCATATGAATATTTTTTCTGCTGTATTTAGTACTACTGTACTTTTTCTACTGTATTTAGGCTAATTATCCATTTTTTTAACAATTCGATTTTTGTAATATATTTTTTTAAGTTTAAAAATGAGTTTAAAATTACAAAAATAATAAACAAAATTAAAATAGCATAATTAGCTTAAACAAAAATAGATATTCTAAATTGTAAAGTTAGCTTCTAAACTCGAGATTTTTGTGCGGTTGCTTTTTGTTCACAGCTTCCATCGTAAGAAAAAATAAATAAATGTAGTTTTAAAAAATATAAAATAAAACAAATTATGTATTCCTGAAAGAAACTCTTGATATCAAATCTACTTAATATTCATAATTTAGTGTTTTTACATATTTCAATCTTCCATTAATTTAAAATCTCGTTTTATTTTTGTTTAAATATCATTAATTTTACGTAGATTTAATTTAATGTAATGAATATCGTACAAATAGATTAAACCTCACTTAATATAATTGTTTTATAAAGCTTGTAATTTTATCTTTGAAATTTTATCATTAGACTATATAAAAATCTATACAAAACGATTTATCAGTATCTAGAAAATGCTTAAATCTCCTAATATAACTAATTGTGTTGATATATATAGGCCTATAACTTATCTAATAGTAATTATTATAAAATNAATGTTCGTTTAAATCCGCTATTTGTTAATATAAATAAATAAATCCTGAATAGTAGGTTTCGTAATTTGCAAAGCTTATTACAGTTGGTTATAAAAATAAAACCTGATTTTCCAGTTACTATATATATAGAGCAGAAGTTAATGTCACTGTTTCATAAGATATAAAATATAAGCTCAAATATTACTGACCAACTTGCAAGATTAATGCTACATGATACTTTTATTATTTCGTGAATAGTTTATATGGGAATATATTTTATGTGTTATACACACACACATATATACATTTATATATTGTTACCATACAGTTTTCGTTTTATAGCTCATATACGTGTTTGCTGTTGTTATTTTTATTATTATTGTTCTTATTAGTTTTAATATAAAATAAACAATATCATATTCTGAATACTTTTAAACGCGATTATTTAAATACATGTTATTAAATACGAAGTTGTGATTATGTTTTGCAATTTTTTAACACACTAATTTCATAGCGGATTTGGGAGGAATGTTATAAATAATTCTTGAAAACGTTGTATTTAAGCGAATGACAAGTTCAGGATCAGAAAAAATGATATTTATATTAAATATTAAAATTAATGTAAAAAATTAATACTTTTTATAAGTATAATATATTAATTTTCCGATTAAAATTTAATAAAAATCAATCGTCTTTTCGCTAATGTAAGCATTAATATTTAATTTTCTTAAATTTTTTGACAGTTAATTCTCTATAAAATGTCTAGTTATCTTTTTACAAATTAAACCTGTTAAAAGTATATAAAATGTAGTAACTTAGCAGATAAAAAAAAGAATAGTAATACCTGTAGAGATTATCAAAATATGTTTATAGAAATACCAAGAATAATTTTAGAACATTAATCTTGTCATAAAAGACACATTAATGTCGTTTAGATGATAATTATGAATAAACAAAACTTATTTATTATACAAAACGTTGTAGTTCGCTAACTTCATTCATCGTATTTTCTTACAACTCTAACCACAGAAAAAAAATTAATAATATAACAAAATTACGACATACACGAATCTAAAGCGAGAAATCTGCATTTATGAAGATATTTACAACTAACGATGGATGGCAAAGTACAAAAAGTCGATATTCATGAATTAGATATTTCTATGCAAATAAAAAGAAGGGGGAAAAAAAGTGAATTTTTGGAATTTTCGTAATTGATAGAATACACAATAAATAAATCCTACAATCCAAATTCAGTTCGAAAACTAAGAACCAAAAATAAAAAAAAAAGCTTCCTGCCAACATAACTAGCGTTTGTTTGCTTAGAAAGAAACAAATCAATAAAGCTGTGGATCTTTTATACGACTATCTATATAGATGTGACCAGAATGAAAGATAAATATTTCAAACTTCTGAGAAGCTTGTATTATAACAGATAATATTGAAAACATATAATTTTATAGTCGTAATATTTAAAAGTAATAGTGAATTATTTACATCCATCAACAAAAACTTATTTCCTACAAATTTGATTTTGTCTAAACAAATGATCACGTCTGGGAAACCGTATTAATTATGTATTTACTCAAATCTTTATTTTGAATTTTACTATTGAAGATAAATATTACATAAGAGTCCTGTTATATTGATTTACAAGTTTATATGTTATGTAAAAATGATTATAAATGTTTCTTAGAACATTGGTTTCAAAAGAATTAATTTGTTTTAAGTATAAACATTTTTGTTATAAGTAATAAAAGCTTTTTGATATTTTATAGATAAAATGTGCACTTATATCATTTTATATTAATTAACATATAAATTACTTAGCATAGTTAGTAAAAATGTTTTTAAAAGTTTTTAAAATTAATATCATTATATATATATTATACAAATATAAAATTAAATATATATATTTTTCTTTACTTTTAACTTTAATTTTATAAGTTAATTGTAACATGAACAAGCCTACATATTTTAACAATAAAAGTTCTTATAAATAATACCCTTATGTAAACAAAGTCTTAAAATAAAAATTTTTATTCACTTTCCCTTTTTACTTAAAAATATAAAAAATAAAAAATTTTCAATGTAAAAAAAAAACTAAAAAGTATGCAAAATATCTTTATTTTATAGATAATCATACATTTTATGTAATAAAATTCTTGTGATCCAATCAATGTGCAGATACATCTTATGAAACTTAAATCATAAAAATTATAGAATATTGCTTTGTAATAAAAGGAATAAACTACTGAAATAAAATCTTTGAAAATAATAATATTTTTCAAATATATCTTTATATATTTCCAAATTTTTCAAAAAATATTCTTTTATAAAAACACAGTGGCAGAATAAAAGCTTTTAAGAAACAGAATATTTCGATTTTTTTTTAAAGCAACAGACTATATGTTTTTGGATAAAATTATAAAAATATTATTCAACAGCTGTATTATATACAATTGAAAATGATCTTTAAAAGATTAAACATTTATCCTATCATATACATATACATATTAAAAATATTATAATGAAATTAAATATTTCATATTAATGTCTGTAGCCTATCAAATTATAAACAAGCACTATATTCAATAAAATATTAAATGTTTCCCCTATTATTTAATAGCATATAAATTGACGTTTACTACGATACTATGAATGACAATCAATAAATCTTTAAATATGATAAATAAGAATTTTAATAAAGTTAAAAAAACTGTAAAACATTATAAAATATTTAAACATTTTAAAAATATTAATTAGCAATGAATTTCTTTAAATGTCAATTATAAGATGGAATGTAATATAATCAAGCGTAATAATTGAAAAATTTATTTAATTGCAGAAAAAAATCGATGAGACTTATATGACAACATTCCTATTAAAATAGTAAATACAAAGGAAGTCACGGATGCAAAGGAAAAAAAATTCAATTTTCCGATCGAGACAAAGTAGTCAAAAATAACAGCACAAAAGCTAAGTTCAGTCAATCGAAAATCTCTGTATTATAGATCCAATTTTGTTCAACATCATTTCTAGATTCTTATTTTTACTATTTGTGTTTCCTTACTAGAAAACGCTGTCCGAATTCCAACCACCAGTATGTTCACGTACGTTACAGTCAATTGAAAACAACAAATCAATGAACTCCTGAAATTGAGATGATACTAAGATAAACGACGTCGGTATTTTTATCAATGTCGTTGACACGTTTTCGCGCCAACTGACTTTTCTACACTACATTCACGGTTTATTTTTCATTGTTGCAACTTACGAGAAATTAAGAGCCGACTTCATCCGATGAAGTTCGTCGAAACCCGACCGCATCACATACATTATGTGCACACAAAAATACAAAAAAAAAAAAAAACAGAAGCGAAAAAGAAAAAAAGACCCATTGACTTCCATTTGGTCCATCGTTAGTGGAAGTCATCTATCATTTTACACGATTCTACAATCAAATGACTTACACCCACGGTTTAGTATTTAACGATCATAAAAAGCACCCGATCGTTTGATTTTGCTGGCTTTTTTCGATGATGAAAACGGCCATGATGGACAGAGAGCAATAAAAACTCTCAGCCACTACACTGGACGATTTAAAGTTGCGAGTGTTTTCTCAAGTTATCAACGTTTCACTTACCTTGAATACAGACGTTCAGAAGCGTTAAAACAAACAGACACCACACTGCGGTTATTCTGTACGCCATAAATCCACGCACGGAAAGAACTCCATAGAAAAACACCGCTCACTACTGACGGACCGCGTACAGTGAGGAAGAACACAACACGCGAGTGACGCCGAGTCAGAGACGAATGCGCATGTCCGGTCCGTACCTCCTCTCTATGCCTCCACTGATCCTATACAACATCATCGCACACGTATCACATAAACGTATCGAATTAACCGAACGTCGTAAAAGTCACAATTATTATACGATTCGAAAGAATTACGCCACTACGATTGCTTAAGTTACTTTGGCATTATAAGAAACGAGTAAACAAGGGATCTAATTGACATGTCATCAGCTGACGATGTCGGCGGATGGATATTGGTGAGTTGTTTGGTCGACAGTATGCTTCCCGCCGAAAAGAAAAGATGTTGGAGAAAAGCTCTCTAATCAATGAACGATGTAGTAATTGAACGATATTTCCATGCATAAAACTTTTTAAATGATTTCTTTTAGTAATCGAAATAGAAATTATACGTATTCAATGAATGATTTATTTACAGTATATCAATGAATGAATAGTTAAAGAATACACAAAGGCTATACTGGTTTACCAAGCAAACACAACTTGATACATTGTGTCTTTTATTTCCTTTGGTACTGCCATTCAGTCCCATATGACAAGAAATTACGTAAACCTTGCTGACAGATTACAATAGGCAATCTAATGAGATTTACTTTATGTTTATATTTCGATCAATGATTTCTTACAGACAGCGTTTCCGTTTTGTTCTTCAAGTCGCTGAATATTTTTTATTAAATTATTTACTTAAAAATAACAAACAATATCATTTTAGTTTATTTCGTTCATAATGGTTTTAAAGATACAATGATTTATTTGGTAATAGTTGAAAATCTATTCATTTTTAAATTTCGAATCCGGTACATTCAATTCAAATGTAAATATAAAGTAATAATATAAGTCTAGTTATAGTTTTATAATAAATATTTTATTTTTCACGTGTTAAATATATATATAGGCTACACATATGCAATAGAAAAAAAAATATTTATATAGATACACTTTTTTTTTTTATAAAATAGCTTGATATAGAAAACACATTCGTATGTGTTTAAATTTGCTTTCTGTCTAGCTGTTTCGATGAAAGTTTAACAGTTAACCCAGACTAACCCCATAACAAAACACATAGGTCTTTGTTCTGGATCAGGACCGATCCTGTGATACCAGGAGTTCCCCTTTATAATGTATCGGACCCTCTCGATGCGTCAGTCCCCCAGCGGTTATTCTGTCCGCTAAAAGAATCATTTCTATTTATTAAATGTATTTTTCTTTTATAAATAAATACCATTCATTGTTTTTCTTATAACTTATAACGTTTACAAAATAGCTAATAGCCTAAGTTATGTCTGTATAGATCCAAGACTATACCATGACATTTAGATTAATGCTCGAAATCCTGCTGTTCTTGGCCAGTGGTTTGTGTAGAACCGATCCCCTATTTTAAAGTACTATATATTATTCTAAGACCATTTCGAGATTCCCCGGAGGGCAGTAACTCCCCAGTTGAGAAACATTGATTTAACGTAGACGCCTGGGTATAATCTTCAAACTCCTCGCGTTAGGAGATTATGAATAACAGTATCGTCCCCGAAGTGATAAAAAATCAGTATTTGTTACAGATTCGGAGCAATATTAATCAAGTTTCTGATATAATTTAATGATAAAACCATGTTTTACTGATAAGCTTTAAACATAAAAAATGTTTTAATGCAAGAAAAAAATTAGAATTTTTAAGTTAAAGATAATAAACTTCGAAATATAAAATAGTTAAATGTCTGGTAACTTATATATTAGCATTTATCCCAATGAATCCTTTATTTATAAACGCCTACTCTACAAATTTCAAAATTTAATTTGATTTAAAATTTTTAATATTAGATATTAGTTAATAAATATATTAAATATAATTGATTTTCTTCAGTTTTTTAAATTTATCTCACCTGTTCCTGATAGTTGATAACCATTAGCTCATGATATAGTATGGTATTTATTTATTAATTATAGGATAGCTGTAAAATTAATATATAAACAGTATCTTCAAACGTAAACTATATTGTAACACATCTTTAACACTTTTTATGAATTATTTTCTTTTTTTAATGGGAAAAATAAGTTTAACATATTAATAAATAAATACTTTAAAACATCTGTAATAATTTTTAAATACAAATTGTCATCATTCCATAAGTTAAACAATAACAATTTTAATGTCGATTTTATAAAGCCGAATTTAAAATGGAAGTTATAAATATATATTATATTTGAACATAAATATTGCCTGAAGAAAAACAATAACATCACTTCTTGTTCATGTGAAACGTGCTAAAAGTACAAATATGGAATATATCAATAATAAAAAAAATCAGAAATTCGGATATGAACTTACTCATGGATGTGCTATTGGAAAGCAATGCCTCGAGAAAGGAAATAATAAACTTCTATTGTACTTCCAACTCTAGTCGCTATCTAATGAAAAAGACTAGAATTGTTTTTTGTTATTTAAATTAACTTATTTTAACTTCAATTTTGAAATGATGAACATTGACATTTTAATAAAGTTTATTTCGAGATTTATTACAAATAATCCGAAAGCTTTAAATATTTTTGGAGTTATAAATTGTAACTATTATATTCTTAATTTCTAGTTTTTGACAATTATCTTCTTATATTGCACATGAATTATTAGAATATATTGCTACATTTCACGCAAACTTTTTATTGAAGGCCTAAGGGATTAAAACTTTTCGGATGAAAAACGCTTGCTAAGTATTGTATATGTACTACACCATATATATTTTTAATCTTTATATCCTGTAATATATTGAGTATTGTGCTTGTGTCTTTAAGTTTCTCTATTTTGTCATTAATTGAAATATTCAGCTTTGGAAGATTAGAAAAACTTTAGAAAAAGCCAAATCATCAGAATTATTTTTATTCTAAAATATTATATAGAATTTTAACAAAGTTGTGGATTTTCAAACTCAAATTGTTTTTTCTCTTTAGCCTTTTTAGTTTTAGTTCCTCATTTGTTTGAATGTTCTTCAGAAAAAGTTTTTTATACTGTATTATGAAAAACATTATTTCAATAATAAAATAATATAAAAAATAATAAAATAAAATAAGAATTCATTCATATGTTATGTAATTTAAAGTTTAACTGATGTTCATCTGTTTAATTAAGGATATTTACTAAACTAACTGTTGTATAAACCAGCAAATTAGACTACTTGCCATTTAAAACAATTCAAGAATTATAATAAAATTCCTAAATAGTAAAATAATTGTAGATACTTTCATTTTTAAATGTAGTTTTAAAAAATATAAAATAAAACAAATTATGTATTCCTGAAATAAACTCTTGATATCAAATCTACTTAATATTCATAATTTAGTGTTTTTACATATTTCAATCTTCCATTAATTTAAAATCTCGTTTTATTTTTGTTTAAATATCATTAATTTTACGTAGATTTAATTTAATGTAATGAATATCGTACAAATAGATTAAACCTCACTTAATATAATTGTTTTATAAAGCTTGTAATTTTATCTTTGAAATTTTATCATTAGACTATATAAAAATCTATACAAAACGATTTATCAGTATTTAGAAAATGCTTAAATCTCCTAATATAACTAATTGTGTTGATATATATAGGCCTATAACTTATCTAATAGTAATTATTATAAAATATGTCATATTTAAATGCAATGTTTATGCACTTTTTTGAAAAAAAAAAAATTATATGAAATTTGTTTAGTTTTTATAATTACGAAATTTAATATGTTTCTTAAGAAATAATCACAATGATTTTCATCATATTACCTCATAATTAAACTTCCAACTTTTTAAACTTATATTTTTAACATTGCCAAATCCTTACTAACATCACGAAGTAAATATAAATTATATTTATATAGTTCTTATTATGAAAATTTTTACTTAAAGCTTTTATATGGAAAATAATGAAACAAAATAAAATTCTCTATCCAATTTCTTTATAACTTTATATGAAGTTTATAAGTTTAATTCATAATATATACAGTATATATTTTGTAAAACGTAACTAAACAATGTTAAACAAAATGTTCACTGAATAAGATTCATTATTTATTTTTTTACAGAAATATTTTATTGCGTTTATATTTAATACGTTATTTCAAATAATATATATATTTTATAAAATTAAGTTTTATATATACTTAGTCTTTAGGGCTGTTACTTATTATATATAAATATCAGTTAAACTATAAAATGAATTGAAATCGATATATATATATATATAATGTATTATAAAGTAAATAACAGCAACTGGATTTTAAGTTTTTTAATTTGATTTTTTTATTAATGTTATGACATTTAAGTATTTTTTTTATAATGGAATAAACATATATCTATTTTTTAAATGATTTATAAATAATAAATGTAGAGTTTCTTCTAGGCATAAACAGTAGGAAAAGAATCGAACATAAAAATAACTTTAATTAAATGAATGTATATTATTTAATATACTATTGCTTCTGTTGAATTATTAATACAGTATTTTCAAGTCTAAAATACTTTTTTTATTTACATTTCGCTAAATGAAAAATTATTCTATTTGTTAGTATTAGATATTGTTTAAAATTCATTCCAAATTTTTAAAAAATTATTAAAGAATGATCTATTTTTTTCATAAAATAAATATGAAATTAGTGGTGCGTAAAGTGTGAATTTAATTCCCCCCAAAAAAGCGCAAAAACTCTCTTAGGGCGCAGAATTTTTCCTATTTTCAATAAAAATATACTCGTTTATTATGTATGATAAATATTTGTTTCTGTATTTATACGTTTATATTTTTCAGATTTTACTGTTTATTTGTATAAAATTCATTGTTATATTCTACTAACGTTGAAACGTTTTTCTTCGTATTATTCGGAGCCGCAAATATTGAACTTCGTCGTGACTAAAAAAGTTTGCACACCTCCATTAAGAGATTTTCTTAGGAAGAAACCTTTAATTTCGTGTATGTAAGCATAATATATATATATTATGCTTTAGAGAGTCGATGTAC